AGATAGATCAGATTAGATATATACATACATGTGTGTATTTATAGATAGATAGATACATACATACATACCATACATTACCGATACATACATACATATGCATATGTATGTGTAGTATATCTATCTATTTCTATATCTATATATATATATATTATATATATTATATATATATACATATGTATGTATAGATATCTAATTCGTAGTCTATCTATTCTATTTTATATATATACATATATACATTATGTATGTAATATTATCTATATCTATATCTTTCTATCTATATATATAACATATGTATGTATACATATATATAGTATATATTATGTAAGTATATATATGTATAATTATATATGATATTATATTATATATTATAATAATATATATAGTATATATATATGTAGGTATATAATATATGTATATTATATTGTATATATATCTAAGTGTATATATATATATATAAGTATGTATATATATATGTAGTAGTTATTATTATGCATAGATCATAAGCGAGTAATACACATATACATACTAATACACACACTACTTACACTAATATATGAATATCACATATATTAATACACTATAATTACACATTATATATATGTATTGTTATATACTAATATAATATAATAATCTATATAAAATACTACTCATAATACGATACATATCAAGCTAACATACACACACACACTATATATACAACATGTATGTAATCTCTCTCTACCACTCTCTCCTCATATTCTCTCTGCTCTCGCTCTACTCTCTCTCTCTCTCTTCTCTCTCTCTCTCTCTCTCCTCTCTCTTCTCTCTCTCTATTATATATAGATATATATTAAAGATATATATAGATATATATTATATATATAAATATCATGAGATATATTTGATGCTCGATTCTCTCTCTCTCGCTTCTCTCTGCATCTCTCTCTCTGCACTGCATATCTCTCATCTTCTCTGCTCTCTGCTCTCTCTCTCTGCTCTCTCTGACTGCACTCTGTACTCTCTGAAGATATAGATATATATGATATACTGAGAGATGATGGATGATATGAATAAGAGACGTGTAGAGGAGAGATGAGACGTGTGATAAGTAGTATATATATTAAACTACAATATATATATAATCGTTCTCTCTTCTCTCTCTACTCTCTCTCTCGTCCTCTTCTCTCTCTCTGCTCTCTCTCTCTCTCTCTCTCCTCTCTCTCTCTCTCTCATTCTCTCTCTTCTCAGTCTCTCTCTCTCTCTCTCTCTCTCTCTCATAACTATATACTTGTAATAGTTGTATGATGTGAATATATATATACTATTGGTGATATATACTATATATAAAAATAAATATTATATACTATTATATATATTATATGTATATATATATGTATGTATATAGTATATGTATGTATAATATATATGTGACTGTATATATATTAGTATGTATATATATATATTATATGTATGTATATATAATCATATAATTGTATGCTATACTATATATATATAAATATTAATGATATATATATGTATTGATATATATATTAATATGTAATGATTATAGTACTATATAGTGTGTAATGGAAGAGAAACGAAAGTAATAAGAGAGAGAGTATATAATTATATATATATGTATGTTATAGGTGATAGGGTAGAGTATATAGTGATGGTGTGATATATGTGTGTAAGTAGTAAGGATAGTGATAATATAGTAATTATAGATATGATATAAGGTACGTAAGTATATATATAATATGTATGTATGTATGTATATATAATATATTACTTATATATATATATATATATATAATATAATGTATACAGCACGTACAACACACCACACAGGAGACGAGCGCGAAACAGTGAAAATGTATGTGTAAGTACTCGTCGTATCGTCGTCTACTCTCCTCGTCATGCTGCTGCATGCATCCTCGGGTCTACTCTGCGAGTCTGGCGTCTCTACTGCTCTCTACGTCGTACTCTGCTGGCGTACTCTCTCTCTAGAGAGAGCTATTCATCTGGGTAAGGTCATCTCTTGATCGGGTCTCAATGCTCCTACGGTCTCTGCTCATGCGAAAGTAGCACTCTACTTCTCTCCACCATCCTCCCACTGTACCTCGCTTCCTCACTCTATCACATTTTTTCTCATCATCTCTCTCTCTCCGCGTCGGTCTACTTTCTGTCTTGTCCTCCTCCTCATCTCATCATATACTCTCGTCTTCTCTCCTCTTCTCTGTATCTGTCCTCCTCCTATTCTCTCTCAGTGTCCGTCAGTATAATTTAATATATGGTTATGTATTTGACTCATATCACTTCGCTGATATGGATTTGTTAGTGTCATTATTAGTTATACATTTATTATATACATATACATTATACCATACTCGTAGCTATAAGCCCGCTATACTTATACCAGTTGATTTGTGCTCTATATAGATACTGCTCGTCACCCCCTTCCTACAATTTCTCATTATCTTCCACCCTACCATACACTATAAATACATTCGTCCTAGGAATGTATAATTATAACTTACTCACGTATACTCTCACGGTATGGGGTTGGTACATTATTGTTTTGGATAATGGGTAGGTAAATTGTGATGCGGATGCGTTGTTCGGTGTGGGTATATATCTATTATACAGTATACATATTACAACCTATACATATACATATTACATGTACTAGCTGTGGTGTGTTGTGTGTTGATTGATGCATTATATATACATAATGTGTGTGTGTGGTTGATTAATATGTGTGTTGATGGTTGTGAATGATGTGTGTGTTGATGTTATGTGTGCTGATGTGTGTATATAGTGAGGAGTATAGTATAGATATATATATCTAGTATATAACATACATATTTACAATTGTATGTGGTAGTATAACTCGAGCTATATATATATATATATATTTATATATGTGAGTCCATATAATGTTATTGTTTACTAGCGGTATATAATATACGATATATTGTATATATAGTATTTTTATTAAAACGATTATATATTATATTAGTATGTTAAGTATATATATAGGCCAAATATAATTGATATTATATGAGACGTCTATATGAGACCTTATTAATACTGGCTCCTACCTTCCTTCTACCTATTCCCTCTACTATCTTTCTCTCCTCTCTCTCACCTTCATAT